TGTTTCTGTGATTCTGTGATTTTCTGTGAAATGACATTGGATTTTCTATCATCCAGCAAAACCTCCTCTGAAATCCTTCTGAAGGTCACATAATGTGACCCTTGGTCATAGCATGGACTTGGTCACATACGCTACAGGCTTGACCTTGTTACCTCAGAGTCTGCCAAGTCAGCTCTCAGGAACACAGTGGGTTTTGTGGGATCTGCAGAGATAAGCATTCAAGGGATGCTTGTGATGCATTTGGGTTAATGGTCAATCCTATCCCAGAAAATGGTGAAAGCTGGTCTGCTCTTGCTTTATTTTTTTTTACTGTGCTAACTGTAAAATGCCCTTTTAGCTGTGGGGCCTTTGAGCAGGTACAAATAGCAGAAGCCTTGTCCTGCACTGCCAGAGAGGCATAGTGCAAGCAGAAGGTAAACCTGATGTGTCAATCCTCTCTCGTTTCAATGGCGTATGACTAATACAGGCTCTTCATTCAAGGCTGCTTTGTGCAGCTGCAGGTGGACTAATGTTGTTCTTTCCTGCCAGATCAAACGCAAGTCACTATTGAAGGTCTGCAGCCCACCGTTGAGTATATGGTCAGTGTCTACGCTCAGAATCAGAATGGAGAAAGCCTCCCTTTGGTTGAGACAGCTGTCACCAGTACGTATGTCACTTCATGGTAACAAAACAAATGTTACCTATTGATGTCTGAATCTACCATGCAGTATTACATCCCCAGTGAAAGCAAGTGGCAGGTGCCTAGTCTCCAGGAGAATGCAAGGTGGTCTGCCCTCTGATAGGTACTGTGCACCTAAATTGCAGATGCTGGTAAAAATGCAGCCCCTCTCCCGCAAGCTGCAAAATGCGGTTCCCCATCCCATCAAAATGCTGTGCTTCTGATTTTCTTTCATTAAAGCCACAAAATCTTTTGGGGTTTTGTTTACCATCAGTGAATCAGTGGAAAAATCTGCAAAGATCTTTCTGGAGCTAGGTGGCAAAGGTGATTACTGTTAAGGGACTGGACTTGGCTTGGAAGCACTTGCCCTGTGCAAGGGAGTAAAGGAAACCACATGAGTTATGAAGAACTTGGGATGAGGCATGGCAAAAGAAAGGACCTCGAATTGCTATATCTGCCTGTAGAAAAGACTGCTCTGGACACACAGAGGAGGGAAGAGAGGACATGTAACTCAGAGGGATATCTCTGATGTGAAGTGCCTTTTTCAGGGGCACCTCTGGGGTAGGGATTTGCATGCATGTTTTTCCTTTGCTCAGGCTTGTATTCAAAACCACAGCTCAGCCCCAAATACTTACAGAAGTGTTCTAAAAACAGGAGCTTCTCTGAAGCTTTGCAGAGATGGAATAGTCCACATCAATTTCAAACCAACACATTTGTGGATGAAAGTCACCTTTGCCAACTAGAAAATGTAGAAAATTCAGGACTAATTCAACATGTAATTCAAGTAAAAAAGTTGCAATTTAGTTTAGAAAAGCGTAATTTGTATCTTGTATAAAAATGATATGCCAGGTCCTCCCATTTTATGTAACAAATGAGTATAGCTCCATGGTAGCCACACTCGACTTCTGTGGAACAAGGCTCACTTACCTTGCTGTCTAGTACTCATCTCCCACCTTGCTAGGAAAACCCGATGAATTGGGCTAATTAGGAAGTGTGCGTATCACGCAATTGCACCTGTGGATGTTCCCTGTGCACTCAATACAAAGCTGAAAAGTTTGTTTCCAACTGATTTTAAAATATAATATATTGAGTCATTTTGCTTTCTTGATAAGTGTGTTAATTGGATCTTAATTTATGAAAGAAAATAGCGGGACTGATTCTCCTTGGACTGTCGCTTTGCACAGCAGCTTACAATTGTGAAAAGCAAAGGGAGCATGAATCTGAACTTACCGAGTCAGGTGGGTTGTCTGGTCGCCTTTAGCATTAGGAACCAGTTACTGGCTCTGATGGTAGAAATGGGTCTTAAAATTCCCATTTCTTTTTTTTGCTCTTGACCGCTTTAAGGTAGCTTAATGCTGCTAGAGTCATGTAAAAGGGGTTTCAGTGCCAAGGGGACTCAAAGATAGGTAAGGGTCGCTGTTCTGGCTGCTTTGAAGGTGGTAATGTAAGTCCTTTTGGTTTCAACAAGGCCAAGATTGCCTTCCTGCTGTCTGGCACCCGCAAACTCTCAGCCTTACTCTGCACGGGTGTAAGCATGTGTGCAAGGTGCAGCACAGAGGAGAATCAAGTACCCTCTCTTCCGCGCAAAACCGAAAACTGCTTTGCATGTAATAGAAATGCTTTTTATTTTCCTCACCCACAACCTGCTTTTAATCACATAACCTCTTACCGTTAATTTGCCTAACAGACATTGACCGCCCTAAAGGACTAACATTCACTGAGGTGGATGTTGATTCCATCAAAATTGCTTGGGAAAGCCCGCAGGGGCAAGTCACCAGGTACAGGGTGACCTACTCAAGCCCTGAGGATGGAATCCATGAGCTATTGCCGGCCCCAGGTGGCGAAGAAGACACTGCTGAGCTGCATGGCCTCAGGCCAGGTTCTGAGTACACTATCAATATCGTTGCCATATACGATGACATGGAGAGCCTGCCCCTCACTGGGACCCAGTCCACAGGTACACCTTTAACTACACCACCCAGCAGGCCATGGCAGCAGTGGCTTCTGCCCTGTTGGGTAAAGTGTGCTTCCGTGCACAACTGGTGCTCTGCGCTGGGGAGTCCCCAGGGGCAGCCAAGGGATTGTGATTGCTCTTGAGAGATGGCTTAGCTGGCACTGGAGAGCTGGCTGCCAGCAGAGTCAGCCTACTTATCCATTAGGGAAGGCAGGGAATGCAGGAAAGATCAGCGGTATCGAGGCAGCCGATCCTAGAGAAAGGAGGGGTGTTACCTTGTAGCCTCTTCTCAGTCCTCAAGTGGATCAGTAATGTCCAGTACCTAGTCACGGAGCCTAATTCATGGGGAAGAACCCTCTAACACCACCCTTGTCTTGTCTTTAGGATATGGGGCACCTGCAAGCAGAGGCAGTTACCAACAGAGAGAGAGAGAGATTAGGGCAGTTTTCATCCCCCAAGGTCCTTGCAGTTGGATGGAGTAAAAGATCAGTGTGAAGGGCTAGGAGACTGCTTAACCCTCGGGTCTCACAAAGCCTCTAGATCCTTCACTGGTACTGCCCTAAGGACTACAGCCCACGTGCACGCCCACACCCTGCACTCACATCACCTCCACAAGAAGAGGACATGGTGCATTCAGGAGAGTCCCTTCCCTTATGTCCCTTCCCTGATCCAACTCCGTGGAGAACATATTTAAAATTCCTTTGTGAAGAAGGAAAAGGAAGCTATTGCTTGAGATAAAATTACTTCCAGCAATATGGAATCTATTGCAAAGCTTCCAGCATTGCCAGATGTGTCTTTTATTACAAAGGTGCTACCTTTGTAATAAAGGTCTCCCATTCATTTGTGGATGAAAAGTTGGCACTGTAATTCCCGGGGTGTGATGAAGACAGTGTACAGATCGCTATACAAAACTGAAGGAAAGTGCTGTAATGATTGAAACAGCTGGCTGCCTACCTGCCAGAAATGCAAACAGAGTAATTTTTAAAACCCACCCTCTGTGGTTTACCCTTTGTGGGCTGTTCAGAAGCATATCCAAAGTCATTCAAGACTTTCTATTGACTCTCAAGGCCTTTAGATTGAGCTCTGAGCAAAGCAACAAGGTAGAATTATCTTGTATTTCTACTCTATAAAATTAGAAAACTTCACAGCAACATGCTAATAGCAGGCGCTATGGCAAGGTATATTTTTCCCCTGTTTACAGCCCAAGGATTACCACCAGTAAGGCAAGAAAATATTTCAATGGATGGTCCTTTTTTTATGCAAACATTTTTTTTAAAGATACCGGATGTGTTAGCTCATAAACAGATCTTGCGTGATGAGCCTTATGGCCACCACAGCTCTGCTTTTCCATTGCCTTGCTCTCTGTGTAGTAATTTACACTTGTGTAAGTGGCTGTAAAATGCTTCCCCTCTGCATTTGCAGTATTTTTATATCCTCTTTGCAATTCCTGAGCCTGCTTCCTACTTACTTTTGTAAATCATCAATTGTATTATAGAAACGAATAGAAATAGGCAAGTGAAGCAGGACTAAACTATTAGCTGTGTGATGAAAAGCAGAGACAGGCAGAAGAATTAAAACAGACTGGCCTACTACAGATTTAAGCACCTCCCAAAGCCTTCGCCTTACATCACAGCAAGTATTGTTACTCACCTAATTTCAGGGTTGAAGCATCGAGATCTCCTTATTTCTCCCGAAAAGCATTACCACAGATTTGAGAATCTCCTCCTGAATACCTTGTCCACAGTGCTTTATGCCTGTGTTTGCAGAAGGCACACTGCTTTCCGACCCATGTATTTCAGGCCTAAAACTCTCTCATGTTCAAGAGAGAATATTGTTTAATCCAAGACTGTCTTCTTCAAACTAACCATGTGCCAATCTGGATTTTTGCAGCAATTCCACCTCCAACAAACCTGAAGTTTACTCAGGTAACTCCCACCAGTCTTACAGTCAACTGGAACGCACCAAACGTTCGCCTCACTGGCTACAGAGTCAGAGTGAACCCCAAAGAAAAGACTGGTCCTATGAAAGAAATCAACCTGTCTCCAGACAGTACATCTGCTGTCGTGTCTGGATTAATGGTAACTCTTTTCTTTGTGTTGTGGGAAAAAAATGTTAGGAGAACTTGAAGCAATTTCAAATTCCTGGGTCAGGAACCTCAGCTGGAGTAGATCATTACAGCTCCTAAGGGTCTGACTCTGTTTGAAGTCTGACTAGCCATCAGCTGTAACTACTTGTTACCATAGTTTTTAAAAGGCAAGGAATGGGCCTGCTGAATCTGCATTCTTTCCCCTTCCTCGTTTAGCACAGAGAGACTGGATGCCTTAATCAAATGAAAATTATCGGGTTCACAATCAACAGTAAGCCAGTAAAATGCTTTTACTCATCCTTCACAACAGAGGTCAGATAAAGTGACCTAATGCAGAGGTTTTCCAGCTGTGATATAGGAGCTCTGGCAGTCTATTGCTTATTTTTAAGACATTTGCAAAATGTAAGTAAAAAATACAAGTCTTTTGTGAGTAGGCTTAAACTTGCTATATAGCTATCTTCTCCACTGGCAACATTTCAGGAGCTTCTGAACTGGAAAAGGCTGAAAATCATTGCTTTTATGGTTCCTGCTATCTTAAAAAGCTACTGATCTGTTTTTAAGGAGTTTTATGAATAATTTTCAAAAATGAGTCTTAAAAAACTCTCTAATCTAAGTGGACTCCTGATCTGATGCAGAAAAGGCAAAAGACCATGCTGTAACTTCCACCATTCTCTTTTCTTCATAGCAAGAGCACCTTATCATAGCAAATGGCATCCATTAACCCCAGGAAAAACAGGATGTAAATTAGGTTCTTCTGAAGAATCATCTTTGAAGCACAGATTCCAAAGTGAGGGATGACAAATAAGCTGCTTCTAGGATTTCCTCTGTTTCTGGGTCTGCACATGTGCACTACTAGTACTATCAACAGCACTGTTTATCAGGGTCCCTGTCTACTCTTTTATTACAGCTGGAAATAATTAGAATCATCCCATCAGTCCTTTGCTGATTTTAGTTATTTTAAGGTTTCTTACTTCAGTAACTTGGGACCAAGAAATACAGCTCCACCAGACACTGAATGAGGGCAGGAGAATTTCCCACTGTGCCAAGTCCTTCTCATAACATGGTGTAACTTTGTCCATTCTAGGTAGCAACCAAGTATGAAGTGAGCGTGTACGCCCTGAAGGACTCTCTGACCAGCCGACCAGCCCAGGGGGTGGTCACCACTCTTGAAAGTAAGTAGTGATCCTCCCCAAATGACCAATTAGTATTGTGCTGGGTGCAGAGGCCTAGAGGCAGAGATCTTACCCTGTCTCAAAAGTATGGATCTATACAGAGCTCCAGCAAAGGCCTTCACACTTAGCTGGTAAGAGTCACAATCCCCACAGTACTAACAGGAGACACCTTTTCCTTCTGGTGCAGATGTTAGTCCCCCTCGCAGGGCCCGTGTGACAGATGCCACTGAGACAACCATCACCATCACCTGGAGAACCAAGACTGAGACCATCACTGGCTTCCAAGTTGATGCCGTCCCAGCAAGTGGCCAGAACCCCATTCAAAGGACCATCAGCCCTGATGTTAGGACTTACACTATCACTGGTAAGTGAGTGAGGTGCTTCTGCAGGTGCAGGAGCTTCCAGGGTCATATCACAAGGTACACTGGGTTCTTGTTTTGTAGTTGAATTTCCTTGATGACAAATACTACAGGAACAAAAAGTGGGAAAAAAATATCCGAGTCTTAAAGACTAGTCTCTGAGAAGCAGCTGGTGAAAGACATTCTGGTGCCCATTTTAGGTGGCTTCCTTGAATAGCTAATATTTATGTTTCAACTTCATTTCAGGCTTGCAACCTGGCAATGATTACAAGATCTACCTTTACACTCTGAATGAGAATGCACGCAGTTCCCCGGTAGTGATTGATGCCTCCACTGGTAATGACCTTCTCTGACTTTTCTGCTCATGCTAACACATAGTAATGACAGGCAGAAGTTGTCTATTTCTGATCACATAAAATACTTACTATGACTTACAGCAATATGTTTGACTCCTGAGTTTGAGAAGGGTGTCAGAAGATGCAGTTCAGGTGAAGAATTGCTTGCCTTCACTGCATTTGACTTGTTTCCTTTTGTTTTCACCTAGCTATCGATGCTCCTTCTAACCTGCGCTTCCTTACAACCACAAGCAACTCCCTCCTGGCTACCTGGCAGCCTCCACGAGCCAAGATCACAGGGTACATCATCAGATATGAGAAACCTGGCTCACCAGCCAAGGAGGTTCTGCCTCGCCCTCGACCCAGCACCACCGAGGCTACTATTACTGGTACTTGTCTCTGTTTTGCTTGGGAGCTCTTCACCTGAAACTCTTCAATTTGAAGGGAGAGGGAGAAGGCCTAATTATAAAATGTATTGATGGTCAGCTAAGAGAAAGACAAAGTTGTGTTCCTTTGTTGTGGTTTCTAATGATAGACAGCAGTTTTATAAGCACACCTGTCCTACAAACACAATACACTTCTCTGATCATATCAACCATCAGAACTGAACAATCTACAGATGTTTATTTCCACTGCCACCACAACTGTCATCCATTCAAGGAAAAAAGCCCATGACTCTGGCACTCCATCAGTCTCATGTTCTGAAGATTCGTTATGTTTTGTGATCCCAGCTGACACAGTCAGATTTCAAACTCGCCCTGAGGAGCAGGAGGCTGGACTCTTTGTACTGTCCTGAAAACCTCAGATCCCAAATGCACATACCCATACTATAGCCATACGCACCTCTCATTCTGCCTTAGATCCCACCCATAATCATAAAAGAAAAGCAATTCTTAAGTTTAAGATAGCTTTATATCCTTCCTCCCTCCCTAGGTCTGGAACCAGGAACTGAATACATCATCTATATCATTGCTGTGAAGAACAATCAAAAGAGTGAACCACTGGTTGGCAGAAAAAGGACAGGTAAAACAAAGCTCTGGACTGTGGTGTGCCAGTAGGAGATGATGTCTCTTCCATTTGGGGAATACAATCTCAAGACTGAAATAATAATGTTATTTAAAATATGCTGTTCACACCATTCAGCCACACCTTTTTTTATAAGTCAAATAGGCTTTGTAAGGAGATTTTCCTTTCTAGGATGCGGGAGGTAAGATTCTGAAGTTACATTAATCACATTTAGCTGCATTTGAACGCTAAGAACAATATGCTTGGTGCTTGATTCTTGCCTGGGTACCTAACTGATAATTAAATTAGGGTTAATACATGTCAGTCTAGCCATGATGGCATGAAAGGCAGAATCCATTCATTTGTTGCCCATTGCATTTCTCTTACTTTACCCCCTCCACAGTGCGAGACTGAGACACCTGTAGCAAGCAAAATACCAGCTGTATATCTGAATGTGATCAAGAAACTAGTTTCTTACTGCACACCAGTGATTTTTCTTAAATTGATAAGCTGTGAATATCTCTTGTAATCATTTTTTCTTCTCAATTTGAGCAGTGGTGGCTTCTTTGGGTTGCAGTGTTCAAAACTGTTGCTCAGCTGTATGAAAATTTCATACCAACACACTTCTTATGCCTGCATATGGGAGATATACATACATTTATGTAGTATATAGATATGCTTATATACTATATAAATATAT